CCCCCCTCCATTTCAATGTTGCTGTCATATGTGTTGCCTTGGGAATAATATAACACAAAACCACTTTAGATTTTGGCTATCTTAGTTTCTAACAACATTGAACAGGGGGAAGGGGGCTATGTCTCTGTTTCAGCCTAACCGGTCAACCAATTTTGTCACTGATTATAGGCTTTTTCTGAAGTAAATCCCAAATTTTTCTCGAAGTGAACGCTATAGCGTGCGTCATTAAAAATTACGAATCGCCATCTGCGTTACGCAGGCGATGTATAAGTACTCATGGCCAATTTAATTTTTTCGCTTTCCGGGCCTCGATTTTTTTTTGCTTTACTAATTTGGGAGTGTTATGGCAATGTACGGACTCTGTAAATGCATGCATGGGGTTTTAATTCGAAGTAAAGCACTATAAAAGCACTGGGAATAAGGAAAATTATATAATTAAGTCATATCCAAAGACTAAACAATACCTTTCAGTAAAATTACCTACAAGTATTGTTACATGTAGAAATTTAAAACAGTAGGAGCGTGAGTATACGATATGACAATCCTAGCAGGAATCCTAGCAGCTGAAAAATCTTTGCAATCTTTGCGTGCGCGATCACACATTGAAAACAAAAATCCTTGTCGAATTTATAATGAAACCTGTTGGATAGCGAAGTGAATGTGTAATGTAAAACCTGTCAGATATCCGAGTTAACTTCCCGCCGGTAAGCTAAGCAGATGTATGATATCACTGAGCTCAATAATATTACCGGAGTAACAGGTTGAGTAATGAATTCAGAAGTCAGGCATTACTAAGCAACTAGACGGTCAAAACAACAAATGCTCAAAATAAAGTGAATTTTAATCCAAATGTTTAAACATTCTTTCTAAAGCTGGATTCTCTACATCAACCAGGCATTGGCTTTCATAAAATTAAGATGTATATACATTACAGTCTGGCACTTATACAGTAAATATCGAATTTTTATGCTTTATGCGGCAGATATCGAGATGTTCATATTACAGATACATATTTTTTTTTAACTTTTGGTATAATGAAAGACCTTAGCCGTACAATACCGCATGAAAAATTTGAGCAGATGTCACCGGACAAAATAATGAGATATAGCGCACTTTTTTTCGAAAATTAGCATTTTTAATTACGTCAGCAATTGACACGCAACACGCTATACAACACGCACAATGGCATGAGATGGCGTCAGTGGATGGCGTGAGCAACTGTCCCCACGTCAGGTCACATTGTTGTCAGGTCACATTGCATAAAGTTTTGTTTTCGCGATTCTGGTGCGGATTGATATAGCCACCTTAAGGTTACAGGACACCCTTTTGGGCGTTTTGCGGAATATCGCTACTGCGCGCTCAATATCAGTCCGATTTTCATCACATTTTCACCAAGTGTTCTCCAGTGCATGCTAAATATGGTAAAGTTGTAAAATTGACAAACAATGAAATAAATATAAGAATTATTCAGGAAAATCTTAAGTCGCGGTACCTTTACGCATTTTAGTTATGTTCCTGCTAGTTTTAAGATATATTTATGAAAATATAATTTTTATACAGTAAAATAGTTGTTCTAAAAAATTGTGTTCGGAAATTTTTGTTTATTTCGTCATTCCGCTGATATGGCAATTTCTTTGACCACTGCAATATATTTCTGAATCGTTTGAGTGAATTGCTCCTTATTATTAAAATATCCAAAATTAGAACAAAGCCGGACACGATTTTGAAACTGATGTCTGTAGCTATGTCCTGTGAAAATTTGAGAAAAATTCGTTAAAACCCGCAGGAGAACAACTCGTTTGAAAATCAGTAATTGCCGTAAAATTCTTTGGGAGAAAATTGAATTTGAATATTACATTTTCAATGTTTTTCTTATTACAGCGAAATGTATTTTATTAAATAACTCTGCGAGTTTTCAACATTTTTCGTTCAAACTTGGTCAGATAGTAGAACCAGTCTAATGCTTTCATGGAAACCAATAAATAAATTTAGACAAAATGGACACTCAAAGGTGTTCTGTAACCTTAATTAAATAGCCTTTGAAAAAGTGTGTAACACAAGGACAAGGAAAATATTAATGTATCGACTCGAACCTTTTTATGATGTAGGGAAGATGTGAAACAGGTAGCTGACATGTGGCTGTTGTAGTGATTTAGACTAAGGAATTTTTGACGTCATCGTGACGACGTCGTCGGAAATTGATTGTTTGCATGCTATAAAGGTGTATAAAAAAAAAGGTAATCGAACTTCAGCGCGCTATTATACGCGGATTACTCGGCGTATGAACAATTGGTTTTCATATTCGGGAAGATCAGGATTTTAGCTATTGAATGACATGCTTTTCATGCCAAGTGGAGAAAAAATAAGCATGTACGAGGCCGATTAAAAATGTTAGTCAAAATCGCATATTTTCACCTCTGTGCCTAATTAAAACAATGCATAACAAAAGAAAAAGCAATTAATCACGAACGTGTCGTAGCTTAGCTAAGATTTATTCCTACTTAATAATAATTATGAATATGTGTGCAGTTTAATGAAGTGAAATTCATCAACTTAAGTCCTAAAGGGGGTTCATTTTCAATGGTTTTAGACCCAACTCTCAACGGTGAAAATATGCGATTCTGACTAACATTTTTTATCGGATTGGTATTTGCTCATTTTTTATCCATTTGGCATGAAGAAGATATCATTCACAGCTAAAAGCATGATCTTTCCGAATGTGAAAAAATCTCGTTCATACGCAGAGTAATTCAGATACAATAGCGCGCTGAAGTTTGATTACCTTTTTTTTTATACACCCTGTATAATAAGAAAAAATAATGCAGTTATCTCACATTGTTACAGTGTGGAGATGTTGTGAGAAAGGCAGAACTTTTTACACTCTCGTTTATTTTCTTTGCAATTATGGCACGTTTCCGGTCATGTAAAAGCTAGTTCGAGAATATTGTGTTCTATGTACTGTATTTCATTTTACATTCTACTTTATTATAAACTAAGATTAATTTCATAAAGAGTATAAATTAAATTACTTTTCAAAAAAAATAGAATTAGTAATTTGGGAGTCGAAAGTTTTGGGAGCGGAATGGAGAGTACAGTAGTATTTGTGACGGTAGTAACTAGAGGTGTGCAAATCCGATCCGAATCCGATCCAAATCCGAATCCGATCCGATCGGATTCGTTCGGATTTCCGGGAACAAAAATATACATTTCGGATCGGATTGATACAGTTGTTTCGTACAGTTACTTCGATATTCGAAATGAAATGAATTAATTATCCACGCATTATTGCAAGAATTAATTATCCATGCATGTATCAAAGCATTATCGCGGTTGTCGCTGCATTTTTCGTTTGATACTTCAATTGGACGTCACTTTGTCAGCTTCTTGACATGTATTTCTTGATTTTATATTTATTTGGTTAAACATTTCAACTTGAATGAGAAATTTATTTTGTTAAAGGATTCTTCGGATCGGATCGGATTGGAATTCTTTATCACAACTCGGATCGGATCGGAATCGGATTAGACAATTTCGGATCGGATTTTAAACATTAACCAATTGTCGGATTATAAACGTCCAATCCGATCCGATGCAAACCTGTAGTAGTAACTGATCAATTTCGGGTCGCTTTCAACCATTTACAATCTTTTTTTACATTCTACATGTACAGTACTTTATCATAAAGATTTCATAAATAGTATAAAATTACATTTCAGTTGCAAGGGCACTTTAACTCGTCTCAAACTCTTTCGACTAGAAATTTATTTTGTAGTCTTAAATCAAATTCTCATCTGATGAATTTTGTGTCTTGTTTTTAACAATTCATATCTACATGATATTACTTGGAATATGTTTATTCAGATACAGTAAATACTGATAGCACAACAGTATGCATAAGTCATAACTAGTTTACTGTATATTAAATATAGAAAATACTATCTATAACTACTATTAAATATTAAATATCAATAACACTATATACAGTATGGTATAACAATATGAATTATATGAACTTATTTTTGTTTCTTTTTCTGTGCTTCCAACACAAAAGAATTGTTGAAATTAATAAACTTACAAAATGTCCTGTCATCGCACCAACTGCACAAGGTATTGGCCACACCTAAACGTTTAAGATAATAATGCTTTACATATAAGTTTTCTTTTTTCGTCATTCTTCCAAAATTGGGGGGGGGGCATAACGTCAAAATGTTTTCATCTATGACAGAAAATATACCTGTGGCTTTCAGATTGTCATGATAAAACGTGTCAAAAATGAATGAAATAGCATACAAAAGTTAGCTACAACAGTTGGTAAGTTATATAACAAAAGTGAGAAATTATCTTGGGAAATGTCTCCTACCTGCCACTCTCGATCCCAGTCCAATGGTAGAGTGAAGGCTCCAACCCAGGCTCCCAGCAGTGTAAGCAACATAATACCACATACACAAGATGGTAGATTTACAGCCCTCCTATAATGCAACAATATTTTTATAAAGGAAATCAAACACAAGTTAACCCATTGGGCAGCAGTGCTTTCGCCATGATTAGTAAAATTGACTGGCTTTACACTGATCAGTTAAATTATAATAAAGTAAAATTAATTTGGGTGCAATGCAACTTAACCTTTGAGTGGCAGCACTCTCCCATCTCCCTAGGGTTCATCAGGGTGCATTGCCACTTAAAGGGTTAAATGATGCATTGGCAGATAGTGTGATTAACCCATTGAGTGGCAGTATTCTCTCCTTGATGGGTAAAATCATCTGGCATTAGACAGAGTAAAATAATAAAGTAGGGCTCATCAGGGCACATTGCCACTTAAAGGGTTAATAAATCAACATGAGCTAGAGTAGCTCCACCTTTGAATTTACTATACGAGCAAATTGTAAAACACAACCGAAATTATCAAAACAATAAATTCGAAAATCCACATGAAACCACAATCATTAGACAAGACTTTTATTATAACATGTGTTGCGAATCTATTGTATTGATAATTCCGGACATGTTTAACAATTTACTCATATAGTAAATTTAAAGGTGGCCGGAGCTCATGCTGAATAAATTGGTTAATTAATGGTTTAACTAGACACATGTGTGGGCAGATTGTCTGATTGGACAGAGTACAGTAAAATAACAATGAAAGTACAGTAGGGTGCATCAGGGTAGGCAATATGCAACTTAATACTGTATGCATAGATTAGCTATAACCCCCCCCCAAACAAAATGTCCACCCCTCCAAAAAGTTTTCAACCCCCCCCCCCAGTATTCTGCATAATAAAAATAATTAAATAGTCCACTCCAACGTGCAGAGTGTTGATGATACAAAATAAACGTAGGAGTACACTCAAATAGAAAAAGACAGTGCAACACTCTGAAACTAATCGCTCCTCGCTTGCATTCACTGGTTTATTGGAGCAATTGTAAAGTTTTGAAACTCTATGATCTCCCCTGAATAGAGTTTGCAGTGCCTTAATTGTCATACAAATAGCTTGCTCGCAAGGAACGTTTGAAATTTTTATGAACATTACTTTTAGTTTTTAATTCTTTTAGGAAATAGACTTGCCTAGATTTAATCTTTACGCCCCAAATATTATTTACATTGGAGTTGCATCATAAATTGTACTCGGATTCAAATGACACAATGTCAATGACTTTATAAAAGTAAAAGCATATTGTGTATTGGCCTATTGGGTTTACACTTTTACAGGTTCATTTAACTTTAACTCTCTCAAGTCTCAACAGACAATCGGACATGCCAAATCCAATGATATGACAACTTCAAAAAACCTCCTTTCGAAGCTAGAAATCGAAATTTTTTTCCAACTTTTCCAGGGATACAGTACTTTGTTTTCTGCTCTCTAGACTCCCCCTCGCGGCTCTAGTGCTCCACCCCTAGAATATAGACATTACCACAGGAGGCCCAGGCTTGATTTGCCTGCGCCCGCCTGTGCCTTCCTTATAACGAGGGAAGGAAGGAAACATTGAGACCAAAATAGCCCAGACTGGCATATGTCACACGAAACTATCCTCGATTTTTCGCCTTTAATGCATTTCTTTCACGATTAATCGATATCCCCTGCAAGAATGATACCGTATAACTCTCAAAACAACAATGCTTTAATAAAGGGCTTAAATTCGCTCTGAAATCCGTGAGGGAATAACAAAATTCGCCCAAAATATATCCACGTGCCGGGTTTGCTGGACAAAAAGCGGAAGTCGTTGAACAACTCAAAATACACTCAACCCTGATTGGACAACGAAAATCAACAAACATTTCAAATTTCTGTAGTCAGTAATGAATATAAATTTGAATCAAAACAATTAACAAATGTTGTCGGGGGAAAACCAGGCAAAAGTTTAGTCGGTATAATAACGTTTGTGAATTGTTTT